CGGTAGAAAATCCTACCCTCGCTGCTGTGAGCGAGCCGTCTTCTCCTCTTTCACGTTTTCTCCCTGCGTTGCAGACCCGCCTCCCTTCACCAGACCGTCTATTGCCATTGGCGATCTCCATGGCGATCTTGAGAAATCCAAACAGGCTTTCCGACTTGCCAAGCTGATAGATGAGTCCGATCGTTGGATTGGAGGGTCCACCACTGTGGTCCAGATCGGGGATGTGCTGGACCGGGGAGGTGAAGAGCTTAAGACCTCTATTTCTCGAGAAATTGAAGCGCGAGGCAGCTAGAAGTGGTGGCGCCATCATTACCATGAATGGGAACCACGAGATTATGAACGTGGACGGCGATTTCAGGTACGTCACCCAACCTGCTCTGGATGAATTTAAGGTATGGGCGGACTGGTTTTGTTTGGGGAACAAGATGAAGAGTCTTTGTCGAGGGCTGGAAAAAGCCCAAAAATCCGTTTGAACGGGATTCCCTCTGTTTTTTGCGGCGTTAGGGAAGAATTCTTTGACGGCTTTAAAGCCAGGATTGCTGCACTGCGGCCTAATGGTCCAATTTCGAGCCGGTTTTTGTCGCAGAATCTGACTGTTCTGGTTGTTGGAGATTCGATTTTTTGTTCACGGGGGGTTATTGCCCGAACATGTTACGCTTGGATTGGAGCGGATTAATGAAGAAGTGAGGGATTGGATTAACGGGTTGTCAGGGAGACGTTCGCCTGCTTGTTGCCGGGGGAGGAATGGTGTGGTTTGGTCGAGGAGATTTTCGGATGAATTGGCTAGAAATTGTGATTGTTCCACGCTTGAGCATGTTCTCTCTACGATTCCTGGTGCGAAGAGAATGATCATGGGCCACACAATCCAAGAGGTTGGGATAAATGGTGTTTGTGATAACAGAGCTATCAGGATTGATGTAGGCATGTCAAAGGGTTGCATAAATGGTTTGCCTGAAGTGTTGGAGATAGAAGGGAAAAGGTCAGGATTGCGGATATTGACATCAAATCCTTTGTACCAGAACAACATATCTCCTGGCTTGGTTATAGAGAAAGAAGGCCGTGGATCGTTGCTTCCAGAACATCGACCACAGCAAGTGGAGGTGAAAGCTTAATAGCGTATAATTTTATATGATTTTTCTCAGCTTTGAGCTTTTCCTCAAGTGGCATTCCATGGCTTAAATATGGGTTCCAGATTTCAAAATCGATCATATCTGCAGTCCAAAAGCTTGGGGAAAAAATGGGAAATATCAATGAAGAAGGAGAAATGGTGTAACAAGAATATAGTCTATTTGCCTGCGATGATAACTGAGAAACCCTCCAAGTAATACTGCATTGCTACCTCAGGAATTTTACTCTGAAGGTATTCCTTGCTTCTGTTCTCCAATCTTGTTGAACATGATTTCAACTGAAAAAAGCTCAAGGCTATTGCATCAACATGGTTTCAGACTAAATTTCCTTTCAACTTTGTCAGGGTGAATTGCCAGAATTAGTTGGTTCAGAAGATGAGAATGATGCCCCGCCAATTTGTAATGAATTTTTGTTTGAATTAAGAACACTGTCTTAATATATAATAAATTTACAGGAAGTCGCGTTGCTGACAGAGTTGCAGAAAATCAGTGTATAGAGGACACGATTAATGCAATGGAGGTCTTTATAATTTACGGGCCATCACTTAGTTAATGATGATAAACAAATAAATGTCATCCATCTAAATAATTGATATACTTTGAAAAGGCATGGTGACTCCCCGTTGAAGAAACAACTCTGCTAAATTCTGTGATGCGGAAACTGAATGGTAACTATCGATAATCTGAAATTTTAGGCCATGTTATCTCATGGAAATAAAATCAAAATTGTCTTACTAATTAAAAGAAAATTCAATTCATAAATTCAATCAAATCTTTTAAAAATATAAATGACTTAACTGTTTAAATAGATTTTTAAAAATCTAAATGACATAATCTTAGCTAATCTAGTATTGCAAATGGATATATTATATCCTTATTTGAAATTGAAATAAAATAAATTAATTTTTTTAAAATTAAATTTGAAATTAAAAGAAGATTAACTAATTTCTTAAATTTTTAAAAAAATATTAACTAAACTAATTAAACTCATAGACCTTAGTATCTTAGATTATGCTCAATATGTTGGGAGGCTTTTTCAAGTCTTTTAGAACTCTATTTGTCTTTAGGACTCCTTGATTATATGAGACATCTCTAATTAATGAATTTAAGGCTTTTTTCATTCTTTTAACTCTCAATCCAATTATTGATCTTTCAATGTCCCTTAATGGGTCAAAAGTATTAAATGTTGTATTTTGACTTGTCTTAATTTCCATCATTCCTTCCTTCTTAAGGAGGATTCGTCCTCGAATTACATATATCAAATAAAGAAAGATATGTAAGATTATAGCCTAATTTGCCTCCTTTAAGTGTATGCTTATGTATTGGACCTTCAATGTGTTGATTTAGGCTCCCACTATGTATTATAGCATTTTGAATATAAATCTCTTTACTTGAACTTTCCTTTATTTGAATGAATTGACTTGAGATAATTCGGTAACATAGCACGCCACTTAGGACTTTGTTGCGACATATGCCATCATCTATGACTTGATCTCCAGGTAAGATGATATCTTAGATGTCACCTAGGATAATATATTGGATGCCAACTAAGTTTTCACGCAGGATCACGTCCTCCTCCTGATCTTAAAGAAAAGTCATCATCATCTCTTGAGGGTCTCCAAATGCTAAATTTGCATATTTATTATCTACTTTGATTAATGCATCATTAAATCCCTATAACAGAGAATTAACATAACTAGAAAAAGAATAATTAATAATATTAGTAGATAAAGCTTTCTCAACCTCTCCTTTTTTTTCAACTTTTGCCTCATTTTCTTTATTTTTTTCTCCCTCTTTTTCATCCTCTCATGTTCTCTCTCTAACTCATCTGCACTTTCTTGAATATTTCCAGTCATGTCATTCTCACTCTTGTATTCCCTTTTCTCTTCATGTTTGAGAGATTTCCTTCAATCATAAATATGGCACTTGGAATAAGAAGGGATTCATCTACATATTTATTTTCATGATAGTTTCTAGCTATTATCAATGACAACAATAACCATGGATTCAATCTCATTTGAATTGGAGCAAGTTTTTAAACTTTTCTTTTTCTTGAGTTTTTACTTTTCATTTACTTGAGACTGCACCTATAAAGAACAGATGGTAGTCAAAGTTTCATAGGTTGATTCAATTTCTTTTAGGTCAGATGCATTACTTAAATGAGGCATGCCTTTATATTCATCCTCACACCTTGTATGCTCACTATAATATTCCTTATCATCCTTAAAGATTATAGCTCACTTGTTAGGACAATGAGAAGCATTATGCCCCTTTTCATAACATATATAACGTTAAGGAGATGTTTTGGTAGAACAAGATATTATAAAGTCAAATGCTTGACCATCATCATATTTGGACTAAGATTCCTCCTTAGCTTTAGATGTAGACTTAACTTCTTGTTTGGCCTTAGAATCCTTTAATTTAGAGGTTAATTTTGAATCCCTCCAATTAAAAGTTGAAAATTTTTATCGTTTCTCCTGAAATATTTTCTCAATTCTTAATGGCTTTGTACACGAGCTATTCCTTTTTATAAAGTGTAAATTTACATATTCATTTTGTCTCTAATTTTTGGCCCAAGTCCATTAATAGTTTGGGTCTTGGAAGCTTCATTAACTTCATGTACTCTAATTCACATCTTAAGTTAATCAAGCATATGTACATACTCCTTCACGATTAGTGAACCTTGGTTGAACAATTGTAGCCTTGTTTTTAACTCCTTGTAGTAGTCAAGCATGTACTTGTTTCTCATGTGCTTCTTAAGCTTTTCCTAAGATTTTGGAAGCTATTTGTCAATGATTCAGAACTTCATTAACAAATCCTCCCAAAATATTAGTGCATAATTAGAAAATTGATAGGTAGTGATTTTTACCTTCTTTTTACTAGGCATGTCATTAGATTGTAAGATTTGCTTCATTTTAAGTTCTTAAATAAGATAAACATCTGGATTTGGATTACCCTTTAATAGTGGATATTTAACTTGTTTGTAGGAAATGTCAAATTTTGATTGAGATTTCTTCTTCACTATAACCATTACATTTATCTCCTTAAGAAGGTCTTAATTCTCTAAGTTTCTTTTTAAGTTGAGTAAGCTTTTCATAGAAAGCCTTATCAAAATCAACTTTAGGTTTTTAGGAAGAGTGTTCCCTTGAATAAGAATACTCACTCATGATGTACCTAAAATGTTAATGTAGCAAAGTAAAAAATTTAAACCTCACACACTTGCTCACATGCTTCACTTAATAGAATATCATTTGTGTTTATCACTCTCTTAATATATAGTTAAACACCCTTTACTCAAATTTAATTTGGCAAAGCCCTAGATGAGAAATGCAAGGTTACCCTTACTGACCAACACTTATCACAAAACCTTAAGCAATCCTTAGATTAATCCAAATAGATAATCAAGTTTATAGTTTTACAAAATTAAGATCTCAAATTTTCATCTCTAAAAATTAATTAAACCTCCTTTAATAAACATCAAATAAGAGTAAATTTTTGTTACAAAAGTATGAGATATATTTTAGGAGTTAAAGGACTCAAAACCAATTGAAAATTATTAAGAAATAAAAAATAGAAAGATGCATCGTGGCATATGCACATGCACTGAGACTGTCCTTCTTCATGCCACGTGTTGTGACACGAGCATCATGCGCTGTAGTGTGTTGTACATTATCAAATAAGCATTATGCTGTCAAATAACATCAACCAGGGCAACTTTCGACACACCTAATTTTTTTCATCTAATGTCTAAATGAGTTGATCTAGGTGTTTATAGAAAACTTTTTTAATGAACTAGTTAATAACATAGGTTTTACGTTCAAATTATTTCACACAAGGAAGTTGGATATCCAAATATATTTTCATAATTTTTTTACACTTTTTACAACTCAAGGGTGTCCAAAACCCCACATTTATGCCAAAAGCCACAATTAACACCCATACTATATTCAATGGATTTAAGACTATCTGTATAACACACCGCATGCACATAATCTCAACAATTCTAAATTTTTACTCCTCAATCCCTTTTAAGATAAAAAATATAAGGGGGAGGTTTTAGCACCACATAAATCATTTAATTTCAAATATAACAATATGACAACATTTCCTATACTTATACTAATATTTTGACCCTATCAAAATCATTGAACCACTTTTAAAATAACCCTGAGGTTCAAAATACAAACATCTAATCATGCATAAATACATAGTGCAAGTGTAACAAAAATGCATTTCCTAATTGGAAATGTCTTATCTAATTACACAAAATAATCTCTAGAGTTTTTTCCCTTTTTGCACTTAAGTTATAGCTTGTAAAATATTAAAAGAGAGAAGTGAGTATAATTACTCAATAATTAATGTACATCTATCTTTAGCATTTGTATATCAATTGACAAAACACATAAATGATAAATGAATGCTCAAATGTATGCAATCACATATATCATAATTTCACAATTTAGCTTATTCTTATTTTCTACAAATCAAATCACAAGGCACATTGCCACAATACAGATAATCATGTGATAATGGCCTAATTCACAATCATAATGCGCATTGCCACACTACCAACAATTATATGATAATGGTATTATCATCATCATGATTTGTCACAAACTTATCAACCATGTGACACGTTGAATATATATATATATACATGATCGATTCCTCATTATGTCTTCCTTATTTCCTCTGACTAAAACAATAAGCTAAAATACTAAATTAGGACTCTGCCTGAGTGACTGGACTACCCAAACTCATCAATTGTAGGGAGAGACCTAGCCAAAGATCACTACACTAATTCTTAAACCACAGGTTCCTCCATTCTCGAATCCTTAGTGGTGTCATAAACCTTAAGCTGGTCTCCTCAATAAAATATGAGATAGTCCATTAATAAACAGTGGGATAAGGTTAGCCTTTATGCACTGAAAGGTGACCATATATTACTATATGGATTTTATCTAATCCTCTCTCTAGGCGAACTCCCGCCAACGATCATGCAATGTGTTGTGCTCACACATACATATTTACACATGTTTGTAATTCACAATAACAAGCTTATAATCTTAAATCATATTATTAGTTTAAGCATGTGAGCAAGACAATCATTTTCATTTATCACTTATAACTTTTACTTGCAATCTCAATCACATTTATATTTTCTTTACTATACTCAATCATTATATTTTAAACAATCACAATCATCATATCAATTGCTAATTTCTCATTTCGACACGTAGTTGTAGTTTGAATTCATTTCAAATTCAACTTCACATTTAGAGTCAAACCAAGGTTAAGAAAACCTCACATGATTTTGGCATATATTAGTAATCACAAATTCAATCATTCAAGTAAGTTCTTTCAAATTTGAAAATATAAATTGATTAATAAATAACTACACAAAAGAGATTTCTCTTGGTTACCTCAAATATTTAAGAAATTAAATGTTCACCCCTCA